ATATATATATATATATATATCGTAACCGTTTTTCCATCGTATTTGTATCGGAAAAGTTGTGTGCTGCAAGGAGAAAGTAAAGTAAAGTCACAGAGCCTACATTCCATTATTCATTCGTATAATTGCCGAATGGCGTGCATTCTAAATGGCATTATCTAGTAAAGTCGATGCATCGTATAAGGAGAGACGGATCATCGCGTTCAGGGACGCTGATTACTCGGATTAGAAAGAATTTTCTACGTATGTACACATGTTGGCCGAAGAATAGAAAGCGTTGACACTGTGTAATTTCAATAGTTGGGAAAGAAGCAATTCGACATCCGTGCTAAATACGAAATAGAAATGATAGTAATAAAAGCGTAAACCAAGTAAACAGAAATAGTAGAAATGATAGAGCCGCTATCTGATTGCGTCGCGACTACCTAGAAATCGAAATAACATAATCAATGTTCCATATAGAGGTGACAGTAGCGTTTTTTTTTTCTCTCTCTCTCTCATTAGGTGACACAGAATGTGAAACGCACGTGGAACGCGTTTAATTAAATTAAATTAAAGATTAAGAAATTAATTCCAATTAAAACTCAAAGTTAAAACCAAAAAAAAAAAAAAGAAATTAATCGATTCGGCTGCGGGTAGCAAAGAATTAGCCTTGGATTTTTAGATATACGTATCTGAGGTAAGTACACGTATAAGTATATACCTCGAAGGCATCCAGCAAAGAAAAAAAAAAAAAAAAAAGAAAGAGAATCATGGACTGTGTTAGGCGGAGAGAGAAAAATTTGCGGGGAATTGGAATGACTGGTGGAGCGCCTGGAGGAATCGCTCGAAGCAGTGTCGTTGCGAACTAGAATTCTCCTCTCTCGATTTCATTCGTCGAATCAACGGCACCTGACACACTCGTAGGGAACCAGATCGACCTTTCAACGACACGACAGGAAAGCGATTCAGAAACGATGGCCCGCGGGGCATTTTTCTGGCTTTTCGAACGCCACTCGAGAGAAACGATTGCTTCGTTTGTTCCAACGATCGACCAGGGCAACGATCCAAGTACGACGCGCAAAAAATCGAAGAAACCTCGCGCAAGTTTCACAAGATTTCATTCGACTTGGTTTGGCGATTGTGTATCTCGTGGAACGATACGTTTACTCTGGCATTGTTTTCTACGTAAGAGTTATTATTATCAGAATTGCGCATGAATTATTCACGCGTAACGTAATTAGAAGCGTTCTTGAAAAATTCTTGAAAAATTCAAGAAAGAGTCGAGCAAAGATTAGACTGGAAATACGAGTGCCATTTTAATTACCTTAAAAAGTAAATAAAATAGCTGTATACGGGAATGATAGTCAATGACTATCGCAGCGATTCTAGGCTCTTTCTCGACTTTCGTTTTACGCGAAAATTGAATTGAAAAACGCAAATCTGATGATCGCAAAGTCTCTCGCGCAATTTTCCGCTATTGCGACGGGTCAATCCGTGGCAAATCGATTCGACGGAATGGTAATTTTCCAGGACTCGCTGCAGAAAATTGAGTTCGCGCGATGGAGAGTCCTGGAGAATCGTTTTTACGTTCTAACGATCCTTTGACCATATTGAATTAGAAATTTGGACGATTTACGATTCGCTGCGCTTTCCCGTTGCGTAATTCTTATCGCGCGATCTCTCTCTCTCTCTCTCTCTCTCGTGCGTGTATTTTTTCCTTACGTCTTGCTGACGTAAAGACACGTAACGATGTCAAAAATAAGTAAGTCGAGAGAATTTGAAGCCGTGTCGTAACAACGATCACGAATTTTCTAAGAACTCGAATTTTTATTCGAAAGGTCCGAGGATTTGTAAAGTCGAGGTACGATCGATTAGTCGATTCCCGAGCTAAATTGCTCGATGCACTGGTCTTTCAACCACCAGCGGTACACAGCGCGAAAGTAGCAGCTCGTTTGTTTTTGTTTGGACGATTCGTTACCCTGGCGACATCGTGTAGATTGATTGGACACGGTGCTTCCGCAACGTTTCAAGACCGGTTGCCATATATCGGTTGCAATCCTCTATACTAGATATACTAATCTATTAAAATTTTAACGATCATTCGAGTTTTCGACACGGTGGGAAAAATTCCGCTGGGGAATGGAGGAATGAGAAAAGAGCGGCTTCTTTTTTTTTTCCTTTTTTTTTATCACAAGACACATAGAAATTAACTTTTATTAGAAAATAAATAAAAGTGTTGTTGCAAAAGTATGGTAGGCGGGGGGTAAGGGGGGTGGGTGGTAGGCGGAAAGAAGAGAAGAAAATATACAATGAAGGCCTCTGTCGCGATCTGTCCTCTTCAATGTCACATGCCGCACAAATTGGTAATTCCAACGGTGTGGAGAAATTTCACGAGTAAGAGTGAAATGTAAAATAAAGAAAAGAAAAGAAAAAAAAGAAAAGAAAAAAAAGATAGAATTAACGGGGAAGTGAGTCTGCAAGGAAGTGGCCTGCGCCAGTGTAATCGTGTACTTGATGGTTCGTGTACTACTTGGTTACTCTGACGCGAAGAAACTGCGCGAAAAAAAAATAACGAAGATGAGCTTCTGTTTTCAAAGATAGAGTCAGCCTGGTCTGAGATGGTCTCGGATGGTTGAAAACGCTCGCCGATGATCCTGAAGGCGCGTCTGGTTTTGGAACGAGTCCGCAAGCTCGACGTTCTTCTTCGTCCGTGATTCCACGTTCGATCGTTGGATAATTAATACTGATTCAACCTTCCGACTCGCCGAAGGGACGAGGGAAGGACGTGGAAGGTCGATCGGCGTTGATAGAGCCAGCGATAGTAGAACGAACCGCGTCGATACAGTGGATGTGCTTCGAATGTATATCGTCTCGAGCTTCTTTCCCGCCGGGAGAATTTCGATGTTGGCCGTGGTTGATATATCGTTGTTTGTTTGCAAAAAACGTCGCTATTCCGGATATATATATATATGTGTGTATGTATATGCACCTCAGGACCGGGCTGGTCTAGGATGGATCACCCTGGACCAGCGAGTTCGAGTTGGCGCCGGTGCGAAACTTTAATCCCAGGGATGATGCGAGACGGGAACTTTGACCAGTTTGACCTGCGGCTCCTCGTAGTGGGATTCGACGCCGATCAGATGTGGCTGTACGATCTTGGGTCCGTGGTACGGGATCTTCACGGCCGACACGTGTGGAATCTTAATGTTCAAGGGCTGAGGGTGCGGGGGCGGGATCGACGGTTGCTGCGGGATCTGGAGCACATGATGCACTTCCGGAGCGTGTACCTGCGGCGAATTATAATTAACCAATGTTAAAAGTATAGACTCGATACGATCACGCGTAATTGTTTGTAGGTTTCTTTTAATTCTCTGTTTTTGTCTGGTAGCGTCGAGCGAATTCCGAATTGAAAACTGGAATCATCAGATCAGAGAGATCAGCAACGCTGATTAGACTAGAGCGACTCGCTGCGAGGAGCAGGTTGCGTAAGGGGTTACGAGTGCAGCTTGCTTGCCAGTAATTGAACCAGAGTTTCGTTGGAAGGGCCGGTTGATCATCGACGAACGATTCAATTTGGCGGTGATCGAGAGTCGATTACGTGCCCTGGTTGACTGGCGAGCCAAGTTACGTGACTCGTGGCTAGCGATCCGCTTCAGACGAAGCCATTAGACAAGTGAAAAATGACGAGTTATCGACGAAAATTACCGTGACGAAAGAGAGTGATCTACTTTGAAGAGTGATTCCGAGCACGAAGAGAAGCATTTCCGTTGTGATACTAACGAGATAATTCGAAACAAACTTACAGACAACTCACGTGCATTGCGTTCAACGAAGATTCTCTCCTCTCTCAGACTTGCTAACAGCAGAGGAGCGCTAACGTCCAACACGTGTGGTCTCTCACTATCTATCTAATGTCGCAAAATTAATGCTGTCGTTATTGTTACCTTGACTATTGGTGCAGAAGCGACCTTAACGTACGAAAGTGCTGGCACTGGTGCGGCTGCTGGCCAAGCTTCCGGCGCTAGCCACGGTTGTGACACCTAAGCGTTTCAAAAATCAGCATTTCGTCTCAATTTTATCTATGGACTTGGACGGGCGAAAGCTTGGTTACTTTGACGTTTTGCTTTTGGTTGGTTACTTTCCACCGAGCGAGTCCAACGTGTCTCGGTTTAAGCGAAGAATCGACGCGTCACAGGGAAATGCATCGTACGCCGACCAGAGGGTTTCCGGAAGATTAGATTATAGGCCGGTAAATGAAGAACGAGAAGAAGAGAGAAACGTGAGAGTAGATGCTGAAGAGATTGCGTTAGATCTGCCTTAGAACGAAGGATTTCGTTTGCAAGTTGGCGGCCCAAGTTTTGTCCAGTAACACTTGGACGTTGGACGTTGCGTCGCACAATTAAGAGAAATGTTAGAATTTCACGAATAAAACGAGTACCGTTCCCAATGGTGAATGTTCGAAAACGAAAATTATTGACAGAAGATGCTATTATTATTATTATTATTATTATTATTATTATCTGAAAATGTTATGGAGAAGATTAAAACAGTTTAACAGTTCGACTCGACAGCAAAGAAAATGTTCTTCCATTAAACGTGAGAGAGATTGGATTGGAAGATTATTGCGATATAATAATCGGAAACGAGGAATTTTTGGAAACATTTAGCCCCACTTACCGGTGCATGATAATATCCAGGATAGGCATTGGCGACGGCCATAGCGGCGAACAGAACAATCTGCAATCACAAGAAATTAACTCGATATCT